CCCACAGCAGCTGTGTGTGTGTCCTGCAGCCCACGCCTTAATTACAAAGCCCTAATTACAGACACAACTCTGCCCCATCACCATCTCCTCCTAAAGCAGAGCGTGATGAGGCAGCTCTCACAATTTGGGCTGAATGAGGAGTGAAATCAAGGAATGGATGAGCAAATGTTGCATTTGCTGAGACTCTGACAGAGCTTTGTGCTCAAGCTCCTTCCCAAACACCCAGCACAGCCATGGGGCAGTGCTGACTTAATTCCATCAAGGAAAGACAAGCACACCCTTTAAAAATAAATTGCAGCTTCACACGAACTCAACAGCCCATTTCACACCCACACTGGCTGTGAAGTTCACACAAAGGAGTGAAAATTCTGCCCATTCTCCTATTTCACATTTATCTATCAGCCTGGAGCAGATTCTTTTACCTGAAACTTCGTCAAGTGGAAATCAAAATGTGGTGAGACAGAAATGAAGAACCACGTTTCCTCCACACAGAAAGGGTATTTAGTATATCTCACAAAGTTGTAGCTTGCTGTAAGAGAATAAAAAAAAAAAAACAAAACCAGTTAATTATTTAATATAATTTAACCAGTATTTTATAAACATTTCAATGACCAAGCTCATCCAACTAATGTAGGATGGCACACCTGTAGATTCTTTATGTGCATACTGCAAAAAGTTTATTTGGCACTTCCAAAACAAAAAGCAAAATCATGAAATGCTCACAAAGCTCTGAAATAAATCTAAAGCAGCTGCTCCAAGTGGATGTGGAATTGATCATGGAATTCCATCCAGCTGGGCAATAGGAATGCCCTGCAACAGGAGCCAAAATCAAACTCATTTTCCTGATTTGCTGTTTGCAGAATGAGTTTTCCCTCTGGCAAGGCAGAAGGGAAAAAAAATCAGGGTTTTTTTTGGGAAAAGTTCTGCAAGAAAGCTCATGAACTGTGAGCAGGTTGTGTCTGCTCCAAAAGGATGTGATGAAAAACTGCTTTATTTCCCCACATCCCTGGGGGATCCATCAGCTCCCTGTGGGAAGAGTTTGCAACACTCAGTGGTGACCCCAGAATGGATTTGATGGATTTGGATAAGAAAATATTCCAGACTCTACCTCCAGGCTTGAGGAATGTGATGACAGCTGTCCCAGACCCCCTGTTGTAGGCCACTTCTTCTATTTCTCCTCCTCCTTCTTCCTGCTCAGTTTTGTAGAAATGCAGCTCAAGTTTGTCTCTCATCCACTCTTCAGGAATGGGGAGCTCAGGTATGTCTGAAACGTTGATCTTCTTTCCAGAGACAGTGACGTGGAGCTAAAAACATCAAATTTTTGTGCACTTTGTGACTGAAAACACTGAAAAAAAATGAAAGAACCTAAAGCTTTTAAAGAGCTCAGGTTTTGAGAGTTGCATATTTCAGCTGTTTACCTCAAACTGGAATCCCATGTCGAGTTCAAAAGGTTTCACTGTCACATTTGCTGTTCTGTTGTCCAGGTTCACACAGTGCTTGCTCATCTTTGTCAGCCTCCGGGCAACTGAGGGAAGTCAGATATGAAAAGCTTTGTTTAATCATTATAAACCCCAAATTATTCCCCAGTCTCTTAAAAAAAAATCTCCTTTTGCATCAGTAAAGGAGAAATAAATAATAATTAGGCAACCAGATCCCAAGCATCCATGCCCACTTCCATGAAGTCTCTGTGGTTTTATGTATGCCAAATAATATAATAACAAAATATTATATCACCCTTAATAATAACAATTAACAATAAACAATGTTACTAAAATAATATACAATAAATATAGCAAGGATTCCTTTATATATTATTTATTATACATAAAAATAGATTTGGAGTGGGACTAGTAGAACTTAAGCTGATGAAAGATGCTCTTATAGTATAATATTTTATAAGATTTTTTTTCCTGTTCCATTCAAAACACCCTTGGGGGAAAACCACACCACTACCAGGTGAAATACATCAGAGACATTAATTTTATAATTAAAATACACATCCTACCTTCTTCATCTTCAAAAGTCAGCAGTGCCTGGTTCTGGTTGAGTCTGAAGGGGGTTTTTGTGGCCACCCCAAAGACACAATGGGTGTCCATATCCTTATCTGCCCCATCATCCTTCATCTCTTCCAGGTGAGTGAACTTCAACTGCATCTCTGCCACCTTCTTTTTAACCTCCAACTTCAGAATTGACACAAGAAAAAGAAAACTTGAATATTACCAATGCTATGAATATTTTTTGATTCCACTGCCTTCCATTGAACCAACGTCTGCTTGTTTTCATTGCTCTCACACTTCCAGTACCTGTTGGATTAATTTCCACATCCTCTCCCTGCTTCAAACTGGCTTGCCAGGAAAAATGAGAAACTTTCAGGTTTATTTTATATTGAAATTATAAAATGAAATTAAATAAATAGAAATATATAAATATATAAATATATATATATAAATATATATATTATATATATTATATAATATATATAACATATATATAATATATATATAATTATATATACATAATATATATTATATAAATATATATTAATATATAAATATATATTAATATATAAATATATAAATTGAAATTATAGGTTCAAATGCTGACCAAGTGGCCCCAGCAGCCTTTAGAGGGACAGGTTCAGGGGGGAGGCTCACTCAGGTTTCCCACAGCAGCTGCCCCTGGGTCCCTGCAAGTGTCCCAGGCCAGCTTGGACAGGGCTTGGGGACAGTGGGAGGTGTCCCTGGGATTGGAGTGAAATGGGATTTAAGGTCCCTTCGAACCCAAACCATTCTCTGAAAATAAAAGTCTGCCCTCCTAAAAGACCAATTTCCAAACATTCCACCTCCTTTACCGGATTGTCCCGGGAACTGTGCTCTTCCAGGTCTTCTTTGAGTTTTTCCATCTCCTTTTTCAGCTCAGTGTTTTCTTGCTTTAGCATCAAGAGTTCCTGCTACAGGCCAAAAAGATGAAATGCAGAGTTAAACGCTTAAATAAAGACAGAAATATTTTTCAGCAACATCTGGGCAGTTTCTGCCATGCTGCTGCTCTTCCTTCCTCATGTCCTCCTCCTTCCTCCTGTCTGCTCCATAATTCCTCCAGAACACGGAATCCTGCTTGGACACAAAGCTCTGGGAGCAAATCCAGGATTTCCTGGACAGGGAATGTGAGAGGATGAGAAGGAAGCAGGGCAGATGTTGACAGATGTTGTCACCTTCTTCCACCATCACAAGGTGGCCCCTGAGAAGTCACCAACCCCTGCAGACACTTGAGCACTTCCCACCAGCTGAAGGCCACAGGGTGATCATGGCCTTTCCTGGGTACAACCCCAAACTTTTGTGATTAAAGAACCAAAAATTCGCTTTCAGAAAACCTCCCC